CCGCAACCAAGGTACATGCCCTTGACCGGAATCGAACCTGGGACCCCCCAGTCCGCAGGCCGACGCTCTATCCACTGAGCCAAACCGGTCAGGCTGCATTTTCATAATTTTAATAATTCATTTTAATTGCTACATTTTAGTAATTCCTATGCATTGTTAGAAGCAATTTTGCTACAGTTTCTGGAAGGAAAATAATTATGATTAAATCTGTTTGTATACTTTTCGCTATTTATTGGAGAGCTAGTGATAAAAATGAACTTAAATATAAGGTTTTTCTAAGGGGATTTTGTTGTTGTTGCTGCTGCTAATTCTCAACCAAGGATATTTTTTTCCATTGATTTTTAGAGAGAGTGGAAGGGAAGGAGGGAGGGGGGAAGAGAGAGAGAGAAAAAAAGACACATCGATTGGCTGGCCCAACTGGGGCTGGGGATCGAACCTGCAACCAGGTATGTGCCCTGGACCAGGAATCAAACCTGCGACCCTTCCATGCGTGGTTCCACATTCTAACCACGGAGCAACACTAGCCAGGGCCTAAGGGGATTTTAACAAGGCAATAATTTTAAATGTCCCCATGAAGTTGTGTTCCATAGTAGATATAGAGTGAGTTTGTTAGAAACTAGAGTAACTGTGAATGACCTTTTAAAGATAAGTTAGGTGTGGTATCCTGACCTTTCAGTAGCTGTAAAAATACCTCAAGGAAAATTATATATCCTCATTTTCCCTTTGAAAGTAGGGATAAAATATGCACATCAAAAGCCAGATACATCTCCCATTTTCTGCAAGAGGTAGAGAAATTGTAGAACACGTTGTATTCTTTTCAGTACATTTGTTCTGTGATGATGGCGACTCACTTCGAAGTCTACGAGAACGCTGTGCCCGAGCTAGCTGAAGTGATGGAAGCAGAGAGGTTGGATGCCGTCAGCATTGCTGTGCAGTGGGTCAACGAAAACATCACCCAGGAGCTTCAGGGCCTAGAGCCCTCCAACCAGGCTGAGGTGGACCAGGTGCTCAGGCAAGTCTTCCACTTTGAAATGTAAGTGTGCAGTCCTAGCCGGTTTGGCTCAGTGGATAGAGCATCGGCCTGCAGACCGAAGCGTCCTGGGTTCGATCCCCGTCAAAGGCACATACCTCGGTTGCAGGTTCCTCCCCGGCCTGAGCCCTGGTCGGGGCATGTGCAGGAGGCAACCAATCAATGTGTTTCTCTCACATCGATATTTCTCTCTGTCTTTCTCTCTCTCTCTTCCACTTTCTCTTTAAAAATCAATGGAAAAATATCCTCGGGTGAGGATTAAAAAAAGAAAGAAAGAAATGTCAGTGTGTGGTATAAATATATATGTTTCCTTTCCATTCACCTGTCAATAAAACAGGTCTCTCATATCCATAGGATACAGCAGTTAGTCAGTTAAGAAGCCTATGCTAAAGCAGCAAACTTTAGCATAAAATGTTGCTGTTCTTCTGAAAACCACTATTAAAATTTTGCTGTGTAAGGCTACATAAGGACTTCCAACCTCTTTTCGTGCATAGAACTTCCTTCGGATTCAGTAAAAAGATTCTCAGGAACAGAATAAAGATTGGAGTTGATGTCCCCTCCCTCCCTCTCCCCACCTCCTCATATACCCTCATTGAGCATCCCATAGCCTTCCATATAATCACAATGAATGAGTGATGCTTATTTTCTGTCCTCCAGACACAAGCAGGTCTTCCATACCTTGCCCATCGGTTGACTCCGAAATGTGAAAACCAAGGGACTGTTTAGTGGGGCTTTGTGAGTATTGTCCAGTGCCCAGTGAAGTGGAGGCTAGCATTACTTTTCCTTTTGTGCAGGTCCAATGCCACCATCTCTTGGCCATACGAAGGTCAACTGGATTCTGTTTCTCTAAGCTTCATCCCCTGCTAAATTGCACATAACATTATATTTGAGTTTGCTCAGAGTTGGATCATGACCCTTGTAAAAACCTTTTTATAAAATTAGTTTTTGGTTTCTGAATGCTATTACACTTATTCCTATTGTGTGTGTGTGTGTGGGGGGGGTTCCTGTTATTATTCATACCTTCTATTCTGTACATTACTTCTTTCCTGGAGCTTTCCTTCCCCAAACTTCCCATCTGGACTGGCTCCTCTCTAGGCCTACT